TTCACTTCATCCCTATATGTCTCTGGTGCATTTCAAGCTGCTGTCCCAGTGCTGGAGCTCAGAGCAAGTGAGTCTGAGTAAGTCCATGCATGGGCCCTTTAAGAGGAATGCCTGGGACTTTAGCAGCCCTCCTCTCATTCAGCCATGATCCCCACTGGTTTTTACAGCCAGCAGTCATGTGGATTTCTCTTTCTGGCACTTAAACCCTGGACTAGGGGTCCTGGTGTGGATCTGGGACCCCTCACTTCTCAGGAGAAATCTGTGCAGCTGAGCTATTTCTCCTGATTTTTAACTGCCACAGTTGGGTGTAGGATCAATCTGTTTCACAACTTATCCCTCCTACCAGTCTCAACATAGTTCTTCTTTATATCCTTATGTGTTGGACTTGTGTTCAGCTAGATTTTAGGTGGTTCTGAATGATGGTAGTTCTGTCACTTAGTTGGCATTTTGATGTGGCTGTGGGAGGATTAGAATATTACATTTACCTACCCACCATCATGATTAAAAACCTCTCCTTGTATGTGTGTACTGTTGTTGTTGTTGTTGCTTTATTTTTTGTGCATGTTTCTTTTTTTATTGTTGTTCAAGCCCAGTTGTCTCCATTTTTCACTCTCCTCCACCCCACCAACCCCTTTCTCTTACCCTCAATCCTACCTCCCTTTGGCATTGTCCATGGTCCTTTATACATGGTCCTTGGTGACCCTTCCCCTTCTTTCCCCCATTATGGCCATCCCCCATGCCCCTGGTCACTGTCAGCTTGTTCTTTATTTCCATGTCTCTGGTTATAGTTTGCTTGCTTCTTTGTTTTGTTGATTAGGTTTCACTTATAGGTGAGATCATATGGTATTTGTCTTTCACTGCCTGGCTTATTTCACTTAGCATAATATTCTCCAGTTCCATGCCATTGTGAAGAGTAGGAGTTCCTTCTTTCTTTCTGCTGTATAGCATTCCATTCTGTAAATGTGCCATGTTTTTTTGTTGTTGTTGTTGTTTTTTTTATTGGTGGGCACTTAGGTTGCTTTCAACACTTGGCTATTGTAAATTGTGCTGCTATGAACATTGGGGTGCATAGGTTTTTCTGAATTGGTTTTTCAGGATTTTTAGTGTATAATTCCAGCAGTGAATTGCCAGATCAGAAAGCAGTTCCATTTTTAGTTTTTTAAGGAAATTCCATACTGTTTTCCACAGTGGCTGCACCAGTCTACATTGTCACCAATGATGTACTAAGATTTCCATTTCTCCACAACCTTTCCAGCACTTGTTTGTTGTTGTTGTTGTTGTTTTTATGATGGCCATTCTGACCCATGTGAAGTGGTATCTCATTGTAGTTTTAATTTGTATCTCTCTGATGGCTAGTGATGCTGAGCATCCTTTCATATGTCCCTGGGTCCTCTGTATGACCTCCTTGGGGAAGTGTCTGTTCAGGCCCTTTGACAATTTTTTAATTAGATTGTTTGTCTTCCTAGAGTGGAGTTGCATGAGATCTTTATATATTTTGGAGATCAAATCTTTGTCCAAGGTATCATTGGCAAATATATTTTCCCATATGGTTGGTTCCCTTTTTATTTTGCTGATGTTTTCTTTAGCTATGCCGAAGCTTTTTATTTTGATGACGTCCCATTTATTTCTTCTTTCCTTTATGTCCCTTGCTCTAGGGGACATATAAGTGAAAATTTTGCTGTGTGGAATATCTGAGATTTCCCTGCCTATGTTTTCCTCTAGGACTTTAATGGTGTCATGACTTATATTTAAGTCTTTTGTCCATCTGGAGTTTATTTTTATGTGTGGTGTATGTTAGTGGTCAAGTTTCATTTTTTGCATGTAGCTGTCCATATCTGCCACCACCATTTGTTGAAGAGGCTATTTATACTCCATTTGATGCTTCTTCCCCCTTTGTCAAATATTAATTGACCATAGGGACATGGGTTTCTTTCCCTTGTGTGAGTTTTGATATATTGTGTCTTCTAGGGAATTGTTCCATTTCATCTTAAGTTACCAAATTTGTAGGTATATAGTTGTTCATAATATTACTTTATTATCCTTTCAGTGTCCATGAGATCTGATCAATTGTCAGAGAGGGCAGGGTGGAAGGATGAGTGTGGGGCTGTCAGGGCATCCCTTCCCATGGGCAATCCCTTAGGTGTTCACAGGTATAGGAAAAGCAGGGAGTGGGCAGGCAGAGCTGGAAGCTGAGTGTGGTTTCCCTTATTTCAGTGATGCAGATGAAGGTGATCTACAGAGTGAGTGAAGGGAGGGAACTTTGAAACGGGGTTGTTTCATTTTGTTTTTGCAGAAGGAGCTGACTAGAGTCCACAGAAGGGTACCCTAAAAGTCAAGTACCAGGGAGGTGCAGGTCATGAAGTCACCCTGGCCTCTCTTTTGAAGGGTGTGCAACTCATCTTTGGCCTTGTGAAGCTCAGGGCTGGGACTTTGTTTACAAGAGAGTGATGAACCAGAGGAATCCCTGCAGTGTGTGTGATTTACTGGGCTTTACTTTTGTTTTTATTTGGTTTATGGGTACTTATAAAACCTCTTTATATTCTGTTTATGGGTATTTATAAGACCACTGGTTGGAATAGAAATGGAACTAGAATGCAAGTTGATAGATGTGGAAGGAACAGGGACCTAAGGATCAGGATAAAATGAGAAAACAGTTGCTTATGGGGTAGAATGTGGTGATGCCTGGGTGCGGCTGGAGCTGAAGGAGATAGCTTCTGATGTGGAGCAGCTCTGGGACATGGGGAGACCAGAGCCAGTCATGGGGGAGGGAAGGTTACCAGAGTCTAAGGATCAGTGTAGTGAGAGTCCAGGAAACTTGGCAGGCTACCAGAGCCTGCCAGGGGAGAACAGGTCTGGCAAAGGGCACCTGTGAGGCAGCCCTGGTGTCTGGAGAGGGATGGCATGGTGTACATGGAAGTCAGATGCCATGGGTGACAGAGGAGGACAAAGCCAGGAACCATGGGTGAGCCTGACATTTCTACCTGGTATGGAGAACTGAGGAGCCAGAGCAACATTGGGGAGCTAGAAGCAGAGCAATGCCCTCTGAGTCTTTCCTACCTGCTGCCTCCCTAGGTAATGTGTGGCAGGAAGGCAGACAAGCCTTCCCCTGAAAGAGCTGCCTGGAAGCCAGGGTTTGATTAAGGGCTTCTTTGCACTTTTACACAGACTCTTAAATTTTCCCAAAGCAGAGGAAGTAGAGCAAAGAACATGGGTTTCAAAGTTGGGCAGTAGAATCCCCTTCCTCACTTAATAGTTGAATAACTTTTGCAAAGTCTCAGCATTTCTCACCCTTTGTTGATCACCACTACCTCCAGATTGGGAACAGCAACATCTCAGAGCAATGGAGCAATGTACCTGAGTTCTCCCCCAGAGCAGCTGTTAACTGTGGTTTGTCCTATTCCCCTCTCATAAGAAACATCACCTGGCTGAGTCCCTGTTGGCTGCCAATGTCCAGGCAGTGGCAGAAAGTCACCTGGGACTCTTCTCCTAGATTAGAGGAGAGGGAACTTGGGGGAACCTGTCAACAGTCTCCTGACTGGACATCATAATCCCTCAGAGACCTCAGGAGTGCTTTCTGGGGAAGGCTTGGGGACACACACAAACATTTCAGGAGTGCATTGTGCTCTGACCTCACAGTGGCTCTGTAAAACCTAAGTGTTCCCATTTCAGGAAGGAGCGACCTAAATCAGTTGTAGGACCTGCTCCAGCTCCTGTAGCTAGTAGGTGGCAAAGCCCTACTCTCCCACCATGCCCACCCTTTCCCAGGCCCCTGTGGACACACCCTCACACAGGGCCAGTGTCTGGGCTGGGAGAGCCTCCTGGGGGGGTGGGCTGCAGCTTCCCCAGGACACACTTTCTAGATGCTCTGACTGTGCTGCAGGGTCTTTGTTTCATCTGTCCCAGGAGATAAGAGTGTGGACAGGACTGGAAGGAAAGATACCATGTTTCTTTGGGGTTAGGTGGGAAAGTGTAAGTTTATAGCTTCATTAAATGTATAAATACTTATGTGCTAAATAAAAATTGGTGTAAGAAAATTCTTCGTCCAACAGAACAGAGTGGCAAAAAGACATTGTCACATTAAACTGCTTCCTACAACCCCACTGTCCTTCCTCCCACTTAGTCTTCTCAGCCCAACATGCTGCTGACCCTCTACCTTCCCTGCAGTTGCTCTTTCCTTGGAGAATGCCCTTCTATCATTTCACCTGACCCACCTGTAAAACCCATCTTCTCCAAGGACTTCATCCACTGTTTCACTGAACAGATATCTGCTGGGTCCTTCCTAAAGGCAGGTCTATACTAGGTGCACGGAGCATGTTGAGAAATAAAACAGAGCCACCACCACACACTGCTCACTGCTCAGCTGCTCAGTGAGGGCAAGGCACCAGGACTTCGGGTCAGGACAGGGCTCTGACCTCCAGCCTCTGCAAGCTAATCAGGTCTGTCCCAGAGCAGGAGGTATCCAGGAAAAAGAGACAGGTGTGCAGGGGGGAAGATCTAGGTTGGATTCCCAGTGATGCCACTAACTGGGCCACCTTTCTTTGTCAAACCTCATGTATAAAATGGAGAGGTACCTGTGTTTAAGAGTGCTGTGAGGTTTAGATAAAGCATGTCCCGCGTCTATAGCAATGATGGCTGCTCACCTCAAAATTCCACATGGTATATCGTGATGACTGATTTTCACAGATATTTGACCAGATAACATTTTTGCTTCTGGATGATAGAAACAGTGTCTTAAGTATGTTCGGAACCACCCCTGCTCCCTACATCGAGCCCAGCGCTGAGCCCAAAATAAACATTCATTAAAGAAGAGATAAAATAAAAGAAACTGAGAAAGTATCTTCTATCACTTGGATAGGACAGTGACTTATTCATTTATTCAAGAGTTATTTCTTGAGTCAGAACTCAGGCCAGGCACTTGAGGCATGCTGAGCAACACACTCGACCCCCAGGGACTCCTTTGGGGGATGAGGACTAACATTCTACTTTCTTCTTGTACACAGGTTTCAAGGGCTGCTGTCTCAGGATGTCAGTCTTCAGACTGGTAAGAATTGCATCTGTCCCATCTAGAGAATGGTTTGTGGCACTTTCAAAACACTAATCAAATCACTCTCAAGCAGAAAAGAGAGGCAAGGAGATCCTACAAGAAAAAACAGAGAGATAGAGTTTGGAAAACAAGACATCACATTATCTAAAGAAAACCAGTTTGGCCAGCCACTGGGCCTCAGCAGGGGGCCACTTGTGCTCAGTAATCCTTCACTCATATTCAGACTTAAAATGTTTTGACAAAGGCATTTCTCATTTGTTGTCTCATTTCCCCCAGAGAGTGGGATAAACATGGACCCAAGCCCTTGGGGCTCTGCCTCATCTTCCCTCAGCTCAACAAGCATCTCTGGCTGTCCACTATGTCCCAGTGTCCCAAAGACTGCTCCCAGTGAAAAGGGAGCATAGGAGCCTCACATTTACTATTGAGTTGACAAACACCGATACACTGCCCTGCCCTTGGGTTGGGGTGAGGGGACAGGCCTCCAGGCAACCTGGGTGATGTGCGCAGGACCAAAAAGCTCAGAGGGCTGGGGGAGCCCAGAGGAGAAGCCCCAAACCAGTCCAGGCATTCTTCCTTGCCCTCCAGAATTCTAGCCAAAATGCAAGAAAACCAGATAGTGCTGCCATTGGTGGTGGAAATCAGGCTCTTCCACAGGATGGTGAGGAAATCATTCTAAGGACTCACGCATGGGAGATTGTGATATGGGAAAGTTTGTTCAGGTTGAAATCTGCCCCTGGGTTTCCAATGTTCCATCTCCCTCCATCCTACCATGGAAACAGTCCACCTGTGGCCTCAGCAAGGCCAAAAAAAAAAAAAACCCGCCAGTGTCCAGAGATTCTGCTTCTTATTAAAGCTTAGTCCTTTGTAGCCCACATAGTCTGCCATAGGCTCCAGGAGCTTCTAGACCTGCATAGTCCCAGAGGAGAGAGATCATGCAAACAAAGGAACAGGGAGAATGCGGGTGAGAGAGAGAGAGCAAGCTTCTTTATTCCCCTGGGGTTATAACCAGGAGCTTTTTCAAAATACCAATCAACTGCCCAAGTTTTCATGGCTTTTGATAAGTCCACCCATCCCCTAGTTAGACTGACAGGTCTCTATGATCAAGCACCTCCCCCTCTCACCCCCCATCAATCACACACTGGAGGGGCAAAGAAAGGAGAGTTATTGCTCCACTTGGTGGAGCAATGCTGTAATCCCCTGGGGTATGAAGCTATAGCTTCCTAATGAAGCAAACAGGCTCATGATCCCATTTATTAAGCTCAATGCCTAATTCTCTTTGCTCTCTCTTAGCAATAACTAGTTAACTACCTATGGTAATGCTGCAATGTCAATGTCCTCTTTAATAAGAAAATGCTTCAAATATTCTCATCCTGAATGCAAAGCCACAATGTGGTCATCTATCTTCTGGCTGCTGGATCCACACTGCCGAGAGGGGGCAGCACCCCCAAGCATTGCTTCAGGGCTTCTGCAACTAAACCCTCCAAGTGTCTGACTCACAGAATGGGCAGCCAGGTTGTTTTTTTCAATTACAGAAGAGATGCTGTCTCAGGCTAGAGAGAGAACACATGTGGTCTACAGATTTTGAGAATGCAAGGGCTTTAAAAAAAATCCTCACCTGAGGATATGTTTATCGATTTTAGAGAAAGAGGAAGGGAAGAAGAGGAGAGAGAGAGCACACGAAGGAAAGAAACATCATTGTGAGAAGGAAACATTGATTGGTTGCCTCCCATATGCACCCCAACTGGACATTTGCAAGGTGTTTTTGTAACTCAATCACAAACATTAGAATTTGGCACCACTTTGGGGCATGAGGAGGTTTGAAGGCAAAGCCAGGCTTATTTCACATAGGAATGAATTAGCTCCAAGGGTCCCACTGGGATGTGACTAACCTCAAGCAGAGTTTAGAACGATACTACTTGGGGACATATCACTCTTAATGACAATTATGTCCTGCTCTAGCTTCTAAGATTGCAAGTTCCTTGAGGAAAGGGTGATGAACCTATTCATTAGTGACTCCGTCAGAGGGTCCAAATTATTGTTGAATAGAGGGCAGAACTTTGCTGAGCTTATTACCAGCATTTCTTCTATCTGTGCTTACTCTGCACCTAGCACTATTTGGGTTCCTTACCCATGTTACATGCCATCTTTACAACAGCCCTTTGAAAGTTCTCCTTTCAACAGATGAGGAAACAAGCTCAGAGAGGTTAAGTAACTTCCCCAGGGCCATACAGCTCATGGAATGTAGAGTGGGGATTAGAACCCGTATCTGTCTGAATTCAAAGGAGCTTTCTATTTGGTCTGCTCTGACAGTCATAACAAAATACCACAGAAATTCATTTCTTCACAATCCTAGAAGCTGGAGGTCCAAGATGAGGGTGCCCTCGGGTTGGTATCTGGTGAGACCTCTACCTGGCTTGCAGATGGCTGCCTTTTCAATGTGTCTTCACATGGCCTTCCTTCTGTGTGCTCAGAGAAAGGGAGAGAGACAGATAGACAGACAGACAGAGACAGAGACAGAGGGAAAGAATGAGAGATCTGGTGTTTCTTCCTCTTCATATAAGTGTGGGGGAACTTTGCCCACAGAGCCCCCATCTGCCACAGATGAGAATAAGTCTGTTGACAGGAGAGACCTGGTCCTTCTTGCTGACACATGTAAAGAATTACATATCAGCAAATCAGCAAATCTAGTAGTATGTAATCAGTTTATTTTTTTAAAAGAAAGGTTAGGCTTTTTTTAAAGATTTTATTTATTTATTTTTAGAGAGAGAAGGGAAGGAGAAAGAGAGAGAGAGAAACATCAATGTGTGGTTGCTGGGGGCCATGGTGTGCAAACCAGGCATGTGCCCTGACTGGGAATTGAACCTGCGATGCTTTGGTTTGCAGCCCGCACTCAATCCACTGAGCTACGCCAGCCAGGGATGTAATCAGTTTATCAGTGGCCCATTCCCATGGAAGAGAACAGGATTGGGTAGAGTAGGGGGTGAAAGGCAAAGTTTCAGGACAAAGCAGGGTGAGAAAAGCAAGAGAGGCTGAAGACCAGGGTGGCAAGTCCCTGGGCAGCCTGAGGCTGGGTGTCCAGAGGCCCTGTGGCCCAACAGCCAAGAGCACCCTGAGCCCCTGGGAGAGTGAGTTCTTTGTTCTTAGGACTTACATAGTTGTTGGGATAGGAGGGCAAAAAGTTACATATTGATTAACAGGTAAATGTGGTGCCAACTTTCCTGGGGGAATATGACTATCCAAACTTAGGTGTGTGGGGGGGTCTGTTAGCCCAGATCTTGCTCTTGCTCCAGGCTCCATTTGTTCATCTTGTTGTAAAACAAATATGTGACAGGAGGCAGTTAATTAAAATTGGGGCACTTTCCAAAGTTATTTATGGGCTCTTTCTGTAAGCATCAGGGACTCCCTCTTAAAACAGATAGTAACCAGAGGTAGGCAATTAACCAAAGTTGTTTTATGGGCTCTTTCTTTGGGCACTGTGGACCCTCTTTTCAAGGCTTTCTTTCCCAGATAGTGGAAATGTTACATAGAATTTCAAGGACTTTCCTTCTTTCTTGCTAATATAGTGTTTCTTGTGATGTTGGAACACCTGGTAATGTTATCAGACCAGGCTCAGGACTGCTGAGTTAGCATGCGAGACTTGTCTCCTTCCTCCTTCCTGCCTCGGTTTACTATTTATTCTACCTAAGTGGTAAAAGGCATTTCCTGGCAACCACGATGCTAGATGCTGGCCAATGACAGTATTACAGTCTCAGAGTTCTTCCTATGCTGTCTCCTGCCTCAAGTCTACCAAGACATGATCTGTTTGCCGAGGAAAGGTGGCTGCACTCTCAAAGGAGAAGGACCAAGAAAGAGCCTTTTCCTCAATGGACTTTTATTGGGTTCAATTTGCACAAGAATACAGGTAAAGCTCATCAATCACTGTCAGGCAGTAAGGATCAAACAATAGATAACATACACAGAACTCTGAGGGCTTATTCTGAGTCAGGGTCTGTTCGCTAATGGGCTATAAAACTTTCGGAAACAAACTAGTCTCCTGCTGGAACCCTTATCAGAAAATTGACAGCATTCTTAGCAAAGCAGTTTTCACAGGATTTTATGTATTCTTTCTTAGGCCTGATCACCCTAGGGAACCCACCCTTTCCAGCACAGGGCTACACCCCCCTCTGTTACTGTTTCAGGCTTAAATCAGGCAGGGGAAGTAAGGCAGTCAAGAGATTAGGAGACTTCTCGCAGAGAGAATAAGGACTCAGGCTATGTCAAAGCCAAGGGGTGAGGGTCCATCACCCCCTTTTGCTATAGCCCCCCAAATCCTTCCTGAGGGCCCCCTATGACCATGCCTATCTTAGGTCATCCCTCCCTTGAGAAATCTTACCCATCATTGGCTGATTGGTCATGCACTGGGGGCCAGGCAGGGTGAAGTAAAGAGGACAGAGGCAGCACCCCTGCCAGGGAGATAAGCTTTGTCTCCTTAGTGGCTTATGGTCCCAAGGTCTCTCACTCAGCCTTAGCTACACAGTGTTACAGCTTTTGAAACCAGGCAGGATGATTCCCAACATATAAGGACACCAATCTTACTAGATTAGGCCCTACACTTTTGATCTCATTCAACCTTAATTACCTCCTTAAATGCCCTATGTCCAAATATGGTCACATTGGGGGTTAATGTTTCAACATATCAATTTTGGGGTGATTCAATTCAGTCCATAATAGAATTAAATTTTTTACTCTAATCTCTATTATTAAAAAAAATTCAAACGTGTTGAATAACTACAGCATGGAAAGAGTATTTTTTAAAAGCAATTAGCAGTGGACCCTGATGGGGGCATCAGGCTAGTGAACTTTTCTAGTGTAATTAAAATAGACTTTGAGGTGGAGAACAATTTTTTAAATTTTTTAAACTTTATTTTTGAAGATAAGGTGAAGGAAGGAGAAAGAGGGAGAGAAACATCGACTGGTTGCTTCTTGCATGCACCCCAACCAGGAACTATATCCACAAC